TAATTGCTGGAATGGATTAAATGGAATGGAGTCAAACATGTGGTTTCCATATGTTGATGTTGGATACAGTTCCATTAATTACATTCCAGTCTTTACAATGAGCCTGTCCTCCTATAGTTCCTCCCACCAGCCTCCTCTGAGGGGGATAGGGTATAAAAGGTGTCAGAGAAAGGGTAGAGAGGGAGAAAGTTGGGGTGAGTGAGTAGAGAAGGCTGGACGAGAGAGGGTGAGTAGAGAGACGGAGAGGGAGCGAGGCAGCTGCAGAGGGGAATGATGAATAAACATGACTCCTAAAATGACTGGTGCAAATGGTCTAAGATCAACATATGTAATGCTAACACTACTACCGTGGCTATTTAAAGCCATCATTATACCAATGTGAAGGACATAGCAGCCTAACACTGTAAAAAAAAAAATATATATACACATTTTGATGTTTCATTTTACAACCGATTTAAATGTCATTCACCTGAGGGCAGTTCCATGGTAACGGAATTACGCTGTGACTCAGATTTTTGAAATCAATGTTTTTTGTTTGGCATACATTTTAAAGTGAAAAATTGGTGTCTAAGCGTAATTCCGTAACCTGGGATTGCCCCTGATTGTTTCTTGCTGGAGAGGTAATATCTGCATCTCAAATGGCACTCTATTTCATTATAGTGCTGTGGTCAAAAGTAGTGCAATGTTGATGTAATGAGAACTTTTACTGTTACAGCCGGGCTCTACGTGACATTTTATTCAAGGAGCACGTGCTCCTAAGTAAAAATAAATGTTATTTTTAAATGTTATACATTTTTTAAATGTTATAAATAAATGAAATTTAGGAGCATAATGAACATTTTTAGAGGTATTAAAACGGCAATCCACAGTTGAAACAATAACGAGGCAACCTCCCTGCCACTGTTTCGGTAAAAGGTTGAGAGATGGGGCTGGAGAAATGTAACCACACTCAAATTGCCGCAGAGACAATATGTTGCTGTTTTAAAGCTAATTTCCTGCTATTCTACAAATTTTGCCACGGGGTGGAGAGAACATTTTAGTTTCAAAGCTAATTTCCTGCAATTCTACACATTTTGCCATGCTTATGCAGTGTTTTTATGCTATATGAGTGACTCAAACATTATAACTAAATCAATGGGGGCCCCATGCTATGACATTTTGGGAATTTTAGATTCTCCATGACTGTCTAGTTTTTATTGAGATGATTGTTAGTTCTCAAAGATCGTATAATTTTTTTTTATATTGCTCCGTTATCTACATACTTTATATCTGATTGTAGTCGTTTAAGTTTACACTGAAAAAAATGAATGTATTATATATATATTTTTAATTGCAGTGGCAGGCACGATTTACTGCTAAATGCATTAAAGGGAAACACTGAATGGGTTTATATAATTGATTTATAAGTCCAAAAATTGATGTAGTAACTGCATATTGGCCCTTTAATGATAAGAATTCACAGCAATTACAAAATACAGGGTTTAGGAGCACCAGAATTGTTTTTTGTAAGATTGAGATATATATAGCTTAAATTGGGCCTATATGGCAGTGTTTACACAGGCAGCCCTATTCTGATCATTTTTTTTTTCTCACTAATTGGTCTTTTGACCAATCAGACCAGCTCTGAAAAAGATCTGATGTGAAAAGATCTGATGTGATTGGTAAAAAGACCAATTAGTAGAAAAAATATCAAAATTGTCTGCCTATGTAAAAGCAGCCTAGCTACTTTTGAAGCTCTACCTTTTCCTTTCTATGCCACCACATGTTTGCATACAGCCTCAGTAGTATTATAATAATCCTTACTCTCACATTTGTAATTACAGGTAGCACAGCAACATTTGTAGGCCCATATGCCCCCAAAATGGTAGCACTGTAGAGCCCTGTACATTGTCAGTTTACTAGAGTAGACCTATCATATTTGCTCAACTTGTCTCAATTGTTGGTTCAACTACAAATTATTATTTGGGCATCTTAACTAAAAAAATCTGTGCAACTGGTTACACGCAATTAAACAGTGCTTTTAACATACAATGTTTTCAACGTACAGTTGAAGTCGGAAGTTTACATACACCTTAGCCAAATACATTTAAACTCAGTTTTTCACAATTCCTGACATTTAATCCTAGTAAAAATTCCCTCTTTTAGGTCAGTTAGGATCACCACTTTATTTTAAGAATGTGAAATGTCAGACTAATAGTAGAGAGTGATTTATTTCAGCTTTTATTTATTTCATCACATTCCCAGTGGGTCAGAAATGTACATACACTTTTTTTTTTGGTCATTTAGCAGACGCTCTTATCCAGAGCGACTTACAGGAACAATTAGTGTTAAGTGCCTTGCTCAAGGGCACATCGACAGATTTTTTTCATCTAGTCGGCTCGGGGATTAGAACCAGCGACCTTTCGGTTACTGGCACAACGCTCTTAACCACTAAGCTACCTGCCGCCACACTCAATTAGTATTTGGTAGCATTGCCTTTAAATTGTTTAACTTTGGTCAAACATTTCGGGTAGTCTTCCACAAGCTTCCCACAATAAGTTGGGGGAATTTTGGCCCATTACTTCTCACAGAGCTGGTGTAACTGAGTCCGGTTTGTAGGCCTGTTTGCTCGCACACACTTTTTCAGTTCTGCCCACAAATGTTCTATAGGATTGAGGTCAGGGCTTGTGATGGCCACTCCAATACCTTGACTTTGTTGTCCTTAAGCCATTTTGCCACAACTTTGGAAGTATGCTTGGCGTCATTGTCCATTTGGAAGACCCTTTTGCGACCAAGCTTTAACTTCCTGACGGATGTCTTGAGATGTTGCTTCAATATATCCACATACTTTTTTATTTTGTGAAGTGCACCAGTCCCTCCTGCAGCAAAGCATCCCCACAGCATGATGCTGCCACCCCAGTGCTTCACGGTTGGGATGGTGTTCTTCGGCTTGCAAGCGCACCCCCTGTTTCATCCAAACATAACAATGGTCATTATGGGCAAACAGTTATATTTTTATTTCATCAGACCAGAGGACATTTCTCCAAAAAGTACGATCTTTGTCCCCATGTGCAATTGCAAACCATAGTCTGGCTTTTCTATGGTGGTTTTGGAGCAGTGGCTTCTTCCTTGCTGAGCGGCCTTTCAGGTTATGTCGATATAGGACTCGTTTTACTGTGGATATAGATACTTTTGCACCTGTTTCCTCCAGCATCTTCACAAGGTCCTTTGCTGTTGTTCTGGGATTGATTTGCACTTTTCGCACCAAAGTACGTTCATCTCTAGGAGACAGAACGCTTCTCCTTCCTGAGCAGTATGACGGCTGCGTGGTGCCATGGTGTTTATACTTGCGTACTATTGTTTGTACAGATGAATGTGGTACCTTCAGGCGTTTGGAAATTGCTCCCAAGGATGAACCAGACTTGTGGAGGTCTACAATAATTTTTCGGAGGTCTTGGCTGATTTCTTTTGATTTTCCCATGATGTCAAGCAAAGAGGCACTGAGTTTGAAGGTAGGCCTTGAAATACATCCACAGGTACACTTCCAATTGACTCAAATTATGTCAATTAGCCTATCAGAAGCTTCTAAAGCCATGACATAATTTTCTGGAATTTTCCAAGCTGTTTAAAGGCACCGTCAACTTAGTGTATGTAAACTTCTGACCCACTGGAATTGTGATACAGTGAATTATAAGTGAAATAATCTCTGTAAAAAATCTTTGGAAAAATTACTTGTGTCATACACAAAGTAGATGTCCAAACCGACTTGCCAAAACTATAGTTTGTTAACAAGAAATTTGTGGAGTGGTTGAAAAACGAGTTTTAATGACTCTAACCTAAGTGTATGTAAACTTCCGACTTCAACTGTACATATTTGACACACATGATTACATTGTGCATGTTCATTTATACAGTCATTATTATTCAACCTGTCCTCACCTGGGATTTGAACTCACAACCTCTTGGTTCATGGCGTTCCGATCTTCCTGCTACGCCACCATGTCTGTGTCATTATCAGTTAATCTGACTATTCATTTGATTTACTTATTTAAGCAATTTGAGGTTTTTCTGTATAGTTGTCTACTGTTGGTGGAGCATATTACTCTGTTTTAATGTTACTCCTTAATCACTTTTATAAATAAAATAGTTTTTCTTGAGTGTACTTTTAACAGAGCTGAGATTGACTTTGAAGTGCAAACTGTAGCAATACATTTGAAATTAGTCATTGACACAGACATGGTGTTATCGCAGAAAGATTGGAATGCTGCGAACTAATAGGTTGTGAGTTCAAATTCCAGGTGAGGACATGTTTTAATATTAATTACTGCATAAATGAACATGCACAATGTAATCTTGTATGTCAACGTGTGTCAAATATGTAAGTTGAAAACGTTGTATGTTAAAAGGTGTGTGTGTGTTGTGATGTAACTAGTTCCACCGCATTTAATTTTTGTAGGTAATTAAAATATTAATTTGTAATTGAATGAACATATGAAACAATTTAAGCAAACACATCATTTTAAGTGACTGAATTTTTGCCTACATTTTCCTATGTTGGAGCTAAGTTTGGGACAACTACATTTTACATTTACATTTGAGTAATTTAGCAGACGCTCTTATCCAGAGCGACTTACAGTTAGTGAGTGCATACATTTTTCATACTGGCCCCCTGTGGGAATCGAACCCACAACCCTGGCGTTGCAAGCGCCATCCTCTACCAACTGAGCTACACGGGAGGCCTACAAATGTTAAATTCAAGTAACACTTTGACCGAAAAGTTGAGTATTAAAAAAGAAAGGCAGTGGAACCAGTTACTTAATTCAATTTAGTTGAAACAACTAGATATTTTTTATGGTGTTGGTTAGGCCTCTAGAATGTAGATTCCCCATACAACAGGCGGGGACAGTATTGCATAACCTTAGCCTACTCCACACTTGCATAAGGACATCAGCCAAGAGCTGCTGGTACACAATTTTAGCACAATGCCCTTATCATCAGCATATGAAAAATTGTTAATCAGAATGACACAGAAGAATAGTATGATTATTCATTAAGTTTTCTCAGGAAAGGCTTGTTGACCTGCAGAAAGACAAACATTGGGCATACCAGACACTAGGCTAATATCATAGTAGTCTGTTATGATGATGTAATGTCCTCTCAGTTGAAGTATTAAAGCACAGTTCAAATCAAATTTTATTTGCCACATGCGGCGAATACACCAGGTGTAGACATTACATTGAAATGCTTACTTGCAAGCCCTTAACCAACAATGCAGTTTAAGAAAAAATAAAAAGAGCAAATAATTAAAGAGCAGCAGTATAATAAAATAACAGTAGCGAGGCTATATACAGGGGGTCCAGGTACAGAGTCAATGTGCGGGGGCACCGGTTAGTCGAGGTAATATGTACAGTGAGGGAAAAAAGTATTTGATCCCCTGCTGATTTTGTACGTTTGCCCACTGACAAAGACATGATCAGTCTATAATTTTAATGGTAGGTTTATTTGAACAGTGAGAGACAGAATAACAACAAAAATATCCAGAAAAACGCATATCAAAAATGTTATAAATTGATTTGCATTTTAATGAGGGAAATAAGTATTTGACCCCTCTGCAAAACATGACTTAGTACTTGGTGGCAAAACCCTTGTTGGCAATCACAGAGGTCAGACGTTTCTTGTAGTTGGCCACCAGGTTTACACACATCTCAGGAGGGATTTTGTTCCACTCCTCTTTGCAGATCTTCTCCAAGTCATTAAGGTTTCGAGGCTGACGTTTGGCAACTCGAACCTTCAGTTCCCTCCACAAATGTTCTATGGGATTAAGGTCTGGAGACTGGCTAGGCCACTCCAGGACCTTAATGTGTTTCTTCTTGAGCCACTCCTTGCCTTGGCCGTGTGTTTTGGGTCATTGTCATGCTAGAATACCCATCCACGACCCATTTTCAATGCCCTGGCTGAGGGAAGGAGGTTCTCACCCAAGATTTGACGGTACATGGCCCCGTCCATCGTCCCTTTGATGCGGTGAAGTTGTCCTGTCCCCTTAGCAGAAAAACACCCCCAAAGCATAATGTTTCCACCTCCATGTTTGACGGTGGGGATGGTGTTCTTGGGGTCATAGGCAGCATTCCTCCTCCTCCAAACACGGCGAGTTGAGTTGATGCTAAAGAGCTCCATTTTGTTCTCATCTGACCACAACACTTTCACCCAGTTCTCCTCTGAATCATTCAGATGTTCATTGGCAAACTTCAGTATATGTGCTTTCTTGAGCAGGGGGACCTTGCGGGCTCTGCAGGATTTCAGTCCTTCACGGTGTAGTGTGTTACCAATTGTTTTCTTGGTGACTATGGTCCCAGCTGCCTTGAGATCATTGACAAGATCCTCCTGTGTAGTTCTGGGCTGATTCCTCACCGTTCTCATGATCATTGCAACTCCACGAGGTGAGATCTTGCATGGAGCCCCAGGCCGAGGGAGATTGACAGTTATTTTGTGTTTCTTCCATTTGCGAATAATCGCACCAACTGTTGTCACCTTCTCACCAAGCTGCTTGGCGACGGTCTTGTAGCCCATTCCAGCCTTGTGTAGGTCTACAATCTTGTCCCTGACATCCTTGTAGAGCTCTTTGGTCTTGGCCATGGTGGAGAGTTTGGAATCTGATTGATTGATTGCTTCTGTGGACAGGGGTCTTTTATACAGGTAACAAGCTGAGATTAGGAGCACTCCCTTTAAGAGTGTGCTCCTAATCTCAGCTCGTTACCTGTATAAAAGACACCTGGGAGACAGAAATCTTTCTGATTGAGAGGGGGGTCAAATACTTATTTCCCTCATTAAAATGCAAATCAATTTATAACATTTTTGACATGCGTTTTTCTGGATTTTGTTGTTGTTATTCTGTCTCTCACTGTTCAAATAAACCTACCATTAAAATTATATACTGATCATGTCTTTGTCAGTGGGCAAACGTACAAAATCAGCAGGGGATCAAATACTTTTTTCCCTCACTGTACATGTGGGTAGATTTAAAGTGACTATGCAAATAGTTAAACGTTTTCTCTTGAGAAATCTAGTGTGTGTGATTTCTATAGGTGGACATGTTCTTCCCCTTAATTTCCTCCCTCTACTAAGAGTAGAGGGAGGAAATGTGGGATTGATATTGAGCCAATATTAACAAAAATATCCTCTTGTTTTACATGCCCAGCCAAACACTATGCCTTGAAGCTTCAACATTTAAAGGGATACTTCGGGATTTTGGCAATGAGGATAACATTTTTATGTCTCTGTTTCCAGTATGAAGGAAGTTAGAGGTAGTTTTGTGAGCCAATGCTAACTAGCATTAGCACAATGACTGGAAGTCTATGGGCATGTACTAGCAAGTTTCTGAGTTTCGATTCTGCAGTCTCTTGTGCACTCTAGTGGCCATTTACATGTAGATGCAACTTTTGTTTGCGCTCACGAGGGCTCGGAATGGAACATTTAGCCTATTTTGTTCCCTGGGTCATATTCATTAGTACACACTGTAGCAAAACGTTCTGCAATGCAAAAAGAGCATTTCTTTATTGGACAAGTTCATGTAGTCTGTCCCTCACTGTTTCAGTTCTTTTTTCTTCTGTTTGGTGGCCAGTCAATATGACCTGGACTAACAAATCTGTGATGTGTGATTTTGTAATGTTGCTTCTCTCCATGTCTCTCTCAAGAATCCACTTTAGATGAGTGTATGACTTAGTGCTGTCTGTCTGTCTCTCCTCCCCAGCCCCTGCTCTGTCCAGCTGACTTAGTGCTGTCTGTCTCTCCTCCCCAGCCCCTGCTCTGTCCAGCTGACTTAGTGCTGTCTGTCTCTCCTCCCAGCCCCTGCTCTGTCCAGCTGACTTAGTGCTGTCTGTCTCTCCTCCCAGCCCCTGCTCTGTCCAGCTGACTTAGTGCTGTCTGTCTGTCTCTCCTCCCCAGCCCCTGCTCTGTCCAGCTGACTTAGTGCTGTCTGTCTCTCCTCCCCAGCCCCTGCTCTGTCCAGCTGACTTAGTGCTGTCTGTCTCTCCTCCCCAGCCCCTGCTCTGTCCAGCTGACTTAGTGCTGTCTGTCTCTCCTCCCCAGCCCCTGCTCTGTCCAGCTGACTTAGTGCTGTCTGTCTCTCCTCCCCAGCCCCTGCTCTGTCCAGCTGACTTAGTGCTGTCTGTCTCTCCTCCCCAGCCCCTGCTCTGTCCAGCTGACTTAGTGCTGTCTGTCTCTCCTCCCCAGCCCCTGCTCTGTCCAGCTGACTTAGTGCTGTCTGTTTCTCCTCCCCAGCCCCTGCTCTGTCCAGCTGACTTAGTGCTGTCTGTCTCTCCTCCCCAGCCCCTGCTCTGTCCAGCTGACTTAGTGCTGTCTGTCTCTCCTCCCAGCCCCTGCTCTGTCCAGCTGACTTAGTGCTGTCTGTCTCTCCTCCCAAGCCCCTGCCCTGCTCTGACCAGCTGCACCATGGGAAAGAAGAGTCGAGTGAAGACTCAGAAGTCGGGGACAGGCGCCACAGCCGTGGTCTCCCCCAAAGAGATGATGAACCTAATCTCAGACCTCCTACAGAGTATGTACCAAGGCAGAGTCCCAAATGGCAACCCATTTCCGCTATATAGTGTACTACTTTTGACCAGGGCCCATAAGACTAAAAAGCATGTTCCATGGAGAGTTCTTAGGCTTGATCTGTGTCTGGGAAACGGGCTTTATGTGATTCTTGTAGCTATGTAACTTATCGTGTGATATGTATGTCTGTCCCATTAGAATGCAGCAGTGCTGCGCCTTCTCCAGGGAAAGAGTGGGAGGAGTATGTCCAGATACGAGGACTGGTGGAGAAGATCAGGAAGAAACAGAAAGGTAGGCTGGATCACACACGCGCACATAAACCCTAACCCTAACCCCTAAGCCTAAAATAGCCTTTTCTTATAAGTGAGGACTGGCTAAATGTCCTCACTTCTCTGAATTTTAGTTGGTTTACTATACTTGTGAGGACTTCTGTTACTCACAAGCAATGTTCCCTCTAAGTTTCGCGCTGGTGCGCACCTCCCCCAGGACTGCAGCGCAGAAGAAATATCAGCCCGCACAGAGAAGCACGAGATTGAACTTCATTCAACTTTCTAGAGTTTTCCCCGTTAGTTAACACATCAACGTTTCCCTTTACTGTGGGAATTGTGATCGAATCAACGCAATATTAGCTACTTTCAATACAACATACCGAAACAAAACGAACTATGCAAGATATTTTGTTGTAGGCAGAATGCATTGGAGTAGGATTCTATTGCATTAACATGCATGACTCAGGCCCTTAGTCTACACAGACCGGTGCGCCGTAACCAATCAGCGCTGCAGTAAGCCTATATGCAAATCGACCATTGCCATATATGGATCTATGCCATTCCCTTTGAACTGGACTGTGTTTACAGAATGAGAGTCGACACGCTTGTTTTAAGATGAAAGCCAGAGCTGCATGTAGCCACGTGGGCACATTTGTTAATATCCTAGTTAGTGAGTTATTAGCCCAGTTATAGATCATATGTAGTCAGCAATGGGGGAGTGACTGCTTCCTGCAAGAGCACAAAACCTGTGCATTTCTAGCCATCTTTGAAAAGCGAGTCAGGTAAAGAGCTTTTTTTTGTCTAGAAGGGGCAGTGTTGTATTTTGAGACAGGCTTGAATTAGCTAAGTAGCCAATAGGCAGAGGGTAGTATAATTTGTCTGATTCTCTGTAATAATGGTATGGGAATAATGATGAATTTTATTTTGTAAAGTGGTTTCTTGCATCAAACAACACAACAACATTTTCAGTCACCTTGTCTGAAGGACAAGTGGATGAACAGGTTAATGTCAATCCCTGCATGTTTTTTCCAAAAGTCTCATGGAATGTAGGCCTACGTTGAACACCACACATTGGCTGCTACTGTAGGCTGAATGATAGAACAACTATTTCCAATGTAGGCTGAATGATAGAACATTTTCTCCGTTGTTTTTGATGGTAGGCCACTCTAATAGGCCTACATTATGATCAAATAGCCACAGTAGCCTACTTGACCACTGTTAAAACTGTAACTTAAAGCGGGTACAGCCTCAGTGTTCACAGTAAACGCGCACCGGAAGTTGCACAAAATGTTCACCACATTCAAGTTTGCCCTCAGCAGACCTGATATTTGCTCTGTGCCGAAAATGTTTTGAGAGAACATTGCTCACAAGTATAGTAAAATGTGTACACACACAGACAGAGAGACACACACAGCTTGATTTGAGCCATGGCCTATATAGTTTACAGTGCATTCGGAAAGTATTCAGACCCCTTGACTTTTTCCAAATGTTGTTACCTTACAGCCTTATTCTAAAATTGATTGAAATTGTTTTTTCCCCCTCATCAATCTATACACAATACCCCATAATGACAGAGAAAAAACTGTTTTTTAGAAAGTTTTGTATATAACAAAACCCCGGAAATATCACATTTACATAAGTATTCAGACCCTTTACTCAGTACTTTGTTGAAGCACCTTTGGCAGCGATTACAACCTCGAGTCTTCTTGGGTATGATGCTACAAGCTTGGCACACCTGTATTTGGGGAGTTTCTCCCATTCTTCTCTGCAGATCCTCTCAAGCTCTGTCAGGTTGGTTGGGGAGCGTCGCTGCACAACTATTTTCAGGTCTCTCCAGAGATGTTAGATTGGGTTCAAGTTCGGGCTCTGGCTGGGCCACTCAAGGACATTCAGACACTTGTCCCGAAGGCACTCCTGCATTGTCTTGGCTGTGTGCTTAGGGTCGTTGTGCTGTTAGAAGGTGAACCTTCACTCCAGTCTGAGGTCCTGAGCGCTCTGGAGCAGGTTTTCATCAAGGATCTCTCTGTACTTTGATCTGTTCATCTTTCCTTCGACCCTGACTAGTCTCCCAGTCCCTGCCGCTGAAAAACATCCCCACAGCATGATGCTGCCACCACCATGCTTCACCGTAGGGATGGTGCCAGGTTTCCTCCAGACGTGATGCTTGGCATTCAGGCCAAAGAGTTTAATCTTGGTTTCATCAGACCAGAGAATCTTGTTTCTCATTGTCTGAGAGGCCTTTAGGTGCCATTTGGTAAATTCCAAGCGGGCTGTCATGTGCCTTTTACTGAGGAGTGGCTTCCGTTTGGCCACTCTACCGTAAAGGCCTGATTGGTGGAGTGCTGCAGAGATGATTGTCTTTCTGGAAGGTTCTCCCATCTCCACAGAGGAACTCTGGAGCTCTGTCAGAGTGACCATCGGGTTCTTGGTCACCTCCCTGAGCAAGGCCCTTCTCCCACGATTGCTCAGTTTGGCCGGGCGGCCAGCTCTAGGAAGAGTCTTGGTGGTTCCAAACTTCTTCCATTTTAAGAATGTTGGAGGCCACTGTGTTCTTGGGGACCTTCAATGCTGCAGACATTTTTTGGTGTCCTTCCCCAGATCTGTTCCTCGACAAAATTTGTCTTGGAGCTCTACGGACAATTCCTTTGACCTCATGGCTTGGTTTTTGCGCTGACATGCACTGTCAACTGTGGGACCTTATTTTACATTTTACATTTTAGTCATTTCGCAGACGTTCTTATCCAGAGCGACTTACAGTTTTTTAGTGAGTGCATACATTTTTCATACTTATATAGACAGGTGTGTGTGCCTTTCCAAATCATGTCCAATCAATTGAATTTCCCACCGGTGGACTCAATCAAGTTGTAGAAACATCTCGAGGATGATCAATGGAAACAGGATGCACCTGAGCTCAATTTAAAGTATCATAGCAAAGGGTCTGAATACTTATTTAAATACTGTATTTCAGTTTTTTATTTTTAATAAATTTGCCAAAAAATCTAAACCTGTTTTTTTTAATACATTTTAGAATAAGGCGGTAATGTAACAAAATTTGGAAAAGTCAAGGGGTCTGAATACTTTCCGAATGCACTGTAAATATAAATAGTTTAATCATAAGTGTGTGTGTGTGTGTCTCTCTCTCTCTCAGGTATCTCCGTGATATTTGAGGGCAGCAGAGAGGAGTTCTTCCCAGAGCTGATGGCATGGGCTCAGGAGAGTGGAGCATCCTGCGAGGGGTTTGAGATCGCGGACTTCGCTGGCGAGGGCTTCGGCCTCAGGGCCACCAAGGACATCAAGGTGGGTCCATACAACTGGACGGACTCTGTGTTTATGGCAATAGCTGTCAGGGTGAAACGTAACCTGGATCATATTCATTAAAGGGAAATTTGACCCTGGCTGGGCCACTGGCATATAGTCATTACTATATTAACAACATTACGTTTTTGTCATAAACATCAGAATTATCCACAACAGCGCATTTTCATTTCACTGGTAGAATCAGGAAGTTTAGACTTTCTGTGTATTCGTCTGCTCATAGTAAACCCTGGGGTGAAATTCCCCTTTTAATGCACACTGTAGCGAAACGTTTTAGCAAACTGAAACGAGAGTTTCTTATTGGACAAGTTCAGGTAGTGCCTCCCTGTTTCGATTCGTTTTCTTCCCTATGGTGTCTAGTAAGTATGACACTGATTCCACTGTGGATAGAAGGAAATGACAGTTCCAGTTGGTCGTCTTCTTATTATTGACATTCTAAAATGGCTGCCATTTAGAGCTGATCGAGCAAGCAGAGCTGTTCTAACAAAGCCCAGCCACTCTCTCTCTCTCTGTGACTTGGTGGGAGTTTAATCAATGACATAACACTCTTGGAAGGGTTTAATAGCATAATAAACGGTTACATTCAATTAAGGCTGAGGTAGACTAAAATCACGGTGCCAAACTTTTCTTCCATATGATGTCGGTGTCCATTGTGACGTAACATTTGTGTCCTCAGGCAGAGGAGCTGTTTCTGTGGATCCCCAGGACGATGCTGATGACTGTGGAATCAGCCAAGAACTCTGTCCTGGGTAAGTGGCAACGTTAGGCCAATATACTGTGATGCCATCCTACCCTTCATTGACTGCAAGTCTTTGACCTCGGACATTTGAACCCCCTTGCTGTGTCCTCCCCTAGGCTCCCTGCACATAAACACACACACACACGAACACACACACGAACACACACTCTATTCTGTATGTAACCGTCCCTCTCCCCCCCAGGTCCCCTGTACAGCCAGGACCGTATTCTCCAGGCCATGGGTAACGTCACCCTGGCCCTCCACCTGCTGTGTGAGCGGGCTGACCCCTCCTCCCCCTGGCTGCCCTACATCAAGACCCTCCCCGGGGACTACGACACCCCCCTATACTACGAGGAGGAAGAGGTACGCTACCTGCTGTCCACCCAGGCCATCCAGGACGTCCTCAGCCAATACAAGAACACTGCACGGCAGTACGCATACTTCTACAAGGTCATCCAGGTGAGTGGCAGACATGTACTCACTCATTCACTCACACACACACACAGGATTGCTGAACAAACAATCATGTTCTAACTGTCTCTGCTATTCACTACTTCTACAAGGTCATACAGGTGAGTGGGAGTGCTCTGTCCCTGCAAAGTAATTTGGGATTTTATAGTTATAGTTGCGTTTCATTGCACCTACAACCAAAGATTAATTGAACAGATTGCAAAACCTTTTGAGCAGGAAGGATGCAATGCTGTCTGTCTGCACAAGTTTTGCACAATATGAGGTGCTGCTGACTTTGCAAAAATACAGAAACGTCTGTCTGTCACGTGTATGTGAAACAGACAATCCTCTGTATGTGTTTTCCATGGATAGACAGGATTATACAGTTGAAGTCGTAAGTTTACATACACTTAGGTTGGAGTCATTAAAACTCGTTTTTCAACCACTCCACAAATTTCTTGTTAACAAACTATAGTTTTGGCAAGTCGGTTAGGACATCTACTTTGTGCATGACACAAGTAATTTTTCCAACTATTGTTTACAGACAGATTATTTCACTTATAATTCACTGTATCACAATTCCAGTGTGTCAGAAGTTAACATACACTAAGTTGACTGTGCCTTTTAAACAGCTTGGAAAATTCCAGAAAATGTCATGGCTTTAGAAGCTTCTGATAGACTAATTGACATCATTTGAGTCAATTGGAGGTGTACCTGTGGATGTATTGCAAGTGCGAAAAGTTGGTGTGAAAAGTGCAAATCAATCCCAGAACAACAGCAAAGGACCTTGTGAAGATGCTGGATGAAACAGGTACAAAAGTATCTATATCCACAGTAAAACGAGTCCTATATCGACATAACCTGAAAGGCCACTCAGCAAGGAAGAAGCCACTGCTCCAAAACCGCCATAAAAAAGCCAGACTACGGTTTGCAACACATGGGGACAAATATCGTACTTTTTGGAGAAATGTCCTCTGGTCTGATGAAACAAAAATATAACGGTTTGGCCATAATGACCATTGTTATGTTTGGAGGAAAAAGGGGGTGTGCTTGCAAGCCAAAGAACACCATCCCAACCGTAAAGCATGGGGGTGGCAGCATCATGCTGTGGGGGTGCTTTGCTGCAGGAGGGACTGGTGCACTTCACAAAATAGATGGCATCATGAGGAAGGAAAATTATGTGGATATGTTGAAGCAACATCTCAACACATCAGTCAGGAAGTTAAAGCTTGGTCGCAAATGGGTCTTCCAAATGGACAATGACCCCAAGCATACTTCCAAAGTTGTGGCAAAATGGCTTAAGGACAACAAAGTCAAGGTATTGGAGTGGCCATCACAAAGCCCTGACCTCAATCCTATAGAAAATTTGTGGGCAGAACTGAAAAAGCGTGTGCGAGCAAGGAGGCCTACAAACCTGATTCAGTTACACCAGCTCTGTCAGGAGGAATGGGCCAAAATTCACCCAACTTATTGTGGAAGGCTACCTGAAACGTTTGACCCAAGTTAAACAATTTAAAGGCAATGCTACCAAATACTAATTGAGTGTATGTAAACTTCTGACACACTGGGAATGTGATGAAATAAATAAAAGCTGAAATAAATAATTCTCTCTACTATTATTCTGACATTTCACATTCTTAAAATAAAGTGGTGATCCTAACTGACCTAAAACAGGGAATTTTTACTAGGATTAAATGTCAGGAATTTTGAAAAACTGAGTTTAAATGTATTTGGCTAAGGTGTATGTAAACTTCCGACTTCAACTGTAGGTGTGTGTTTTCCATGGGCAGACTGAGGAGTAGAGGTGATTTTATTATTTATTCAAATTCTCAGATTCTTTCTGTGATATGTTTTTGTGCCAGACGGTATTCATTGTCCCCCACGATGTAACTGGGGAGGGGACTGTGGATCTGTCTCCGTCCTTTCGTTCATATGTTAGTCACACGAGATATCTCAGACAGCACTGGCCCGTTTTTGACGAAACTTGGGTGAATGATGCGTCTTGCCATAGAGATCCGGCATTTACGAAATTACACTGATTGGCCCAATTCAGAGCCCAGTTCTTAGGGACAGTATGGTCAAACCCTCAGTTCTAAAGCCTGGTATGGTAAGTTGATTTATCTCCTAAAGAAAGAGTTGTAGCTCCAGCTGTATAACGTTCACCTTGTAGCCAGGTACAGAGTCAATCTCTGGGCCGGGTTCATTTGGCTCGTGTTAAGTCAGTTAGGAAGGACTCTCTCTCTCTGTCTCTCTGTTCTCTCTGTCCTTTTCTCTCTTTCTTCTCTCTGTCTTTCTCTGTCCCTTCTTTCTCGTCCTTCCATCTCTCCGTCTCTGCCCGTCCACCTGTCTGTCAGTGCGTGGCGTGTTTTCCGAAGCGTGCTTAGCGAGAGAGATCAGGTTTTAAGAGGTTTCCAGCTGTAGGGAGATGGGGAGAGCAGCTGCAGAATGGCCTCTTGCACCCAATTTCAGAGGGCCTGATAAGTTGCCAGTGGCATAGAAAGTGGCAGGGAACCTGTCCTTAAATACCACAATAACCAACAGGGGGAGCTTTTCACCTCTTACAGTCTGATGAACCAGTGGGATTCAAACTTTCAGCGGGGACCTAATTTTTTTCTGCCAGAATTTCTGGGGATCCCATTTTTTTTTCTCACAAGATTTCTCGTGACCCAACCCCAAATCTAATGACACAATCTTAAAATCGGTAAATATAGATTTTTACAGCGACAAATAACCTTCAATTCATTGCATTTTAATCTCTTATCAAAATGAAAAGAAACCAATAAATACATTTACTCAATTGTTTTTTTTCTTCAAATTATCTTTCTCAAAAAACGTTTGTATATTGTCCCATACAATAACCTGTACTCTTCATTTGTTGTTCCTAAAAAGATCATAAAAATATTATTTTTTTGCCGACCCCACCACTGTTCCCCTGCAACTTTGAATAGCACTGGTCTGAACTGAAGACCACTCCTGTGTGATCGGTGGATATGTCCTATATAGTGCACTACTATTCCCTATATACTGTAGTGCACTAATTGTCCATGGGGCTCTGGTCAAAATAAGTTACTAAATAGGAAATAGGGTTCCATTTGGGATACAGTGTTTGTAGATGTGTACTGTAACTTGTCATATTTACCACAATGCAACACATTGATATTTATTCACATTTCATCATTCACAAGGTTCCCAAGCAAAATATGACTCAAATCTCAATGTGAATAGGTACTGCGTAGGATTTCTAGATATAAAATTCACACTGTGCTTTTCTTAGGGGTTGATGCCAGTACATCTGCACTCCATAGCTATTTAGTTTGAAAGGTCCAGTGTATCTGTAGGCAGCTGTACCTTCAGTGAGGAAGATGGAGAGACAATGTGATTACAGTTTATTATGAAATAGAAGAAACACAAGACAGAAATTGTGATGCAAATCTCTCTCTCCAGTATGCTAATTTGAAGTTATTAACTGACATGTTGAAATTCCTTTGATCAAAACCAATGAAGACTAGGGTTGTGTCCCAAATGGCACTCTCTTCCCTATATAGTGCATTCGAACCATAGGGCTGTTGTCAAAAGTAGTGCACTATGTAGGGAGTAGGGTGCCATTTGGGTCACAAGCTAGACCACTCTCTTTTAGGTTTTCTAGTCTCTTTGTTATCAAAGAAGGAGCAATACAAATAATCTGTTTCTCCAAATTATTTTCACATTCTTTAGTTGGGATGCTTTGTGTCTGTGACTCTGTCATCAAATAACTGTCCATTAGGGAAGAGAAAATAACATTTACTGTCAAGATAAGACATTAAATATGAAATATTCATGATGGCAATAGTTAATGTTTGTCATTGTCTCTTGGCTGATCTGGGCTGGTGTGTGTTGACATGTTTTTGATTAAATGTTAGTTAGTTCTCAGTTGAAGTTAGGTGGCTAATAAACTAAATGGTTTATTAATAGTCCTCGCCAGTACCTATTCATCTGACCATATTTAAGGCATGTGTCATTTTAAACATATTTTCAATGTTCTTCACATACTCCACGAAAGTAAACGTGTCTGTAAGATATACTTTTATTTTTGTCAGTGATCATAAACTTCACTTGCTAATTACTCATTAGTAATCAAATACAAACCTTGAATCGAGAACTTGAGTACTCAAGTACTTGCGCCCATCCCTACTATCCAGGTGAAGCATTTTAGTTGCTTTTGTCCCCTCAAGCTTTGCTTTTGTACAATTGACTGAATGAAGCAGAATAGTGAATCATAAAGTGGCTGCTACTTGACAGAAATGAGCTGTTTTGTGGCCTTGACAGACAGCAGGTGGCCTGTCTCTGAAAAGACAGTACCATCAATGCCCACTAGATGGTGGTAGAGGCTTATAGGTGATATGAAGGTAATACAGTTCTTAGGTGTTTGTTACCATGTAATAATACTGCTAACATTACATCATTATTAATACTTATATACTGGGTGGTTCGAGCCCTGAATGCTGATTGGCTGACAGGCGTGGTATATCATGGGTATGACAAAACACGTATTTTTACTGCTCTAATTACGTTGGTAACCAGTTTATAATAGCAATAAG